AAAAATAATTAGTATGAAAAAAATCTCAGTATTAACAGAGAAGTTCGTTTTTCAGTTTTTCAGGGTCTTTACCTTCACTGAAATATATTTATTCACAGTGATCTTTTCCATTTAAAATTTTGTTGTCTTAGGCGTCGTTCACAGTATTCCATTTTCACTACGTATTATACTGGCCCAATTTACACAACTTAAAACTAATGTGCATTTTATTTATAGAGCACATTGCTTTAGCTTTAGCTACACAGTTTTAGTTTGAACAGATAGCTGAATGCCAACAAACATGGCGATGGTGCACTCGTTTGTGTGATTATGATGCTGTCTCTGGAAACCAGAAGCGCAGCTATAGTAACACCAGAAAGCAGCCTTGCTGCCTTGACTGCCACACACAAACACCTCACTGCCATTGTGTACATTCTACTCCATTGAGCACAAGCCTAGAATGAAGGTTTGGGTCATATCATTGTTTCCTTTTGGAGGCAGAAGATCATGCTTCATTATGTCTTTTCCAGTACTACTATTCTGTCCTTGAAGTTAAAGGTGCCTCTGAACCATAGATTAGATCCTGCTCCTCAAATGTGGGCTGTGTTCCAGCAGTGCTAATGTAGCCTCAAAGTCTGTTAGGAATGATCTGAGCTCCGGCTCAGACCTACTGAATCAGAATCTCTATTTTAGCCAAGTCCCCATGTGACTGGAGGCACACTGCCAACGAAGAAGCACTGCTTCAGACCAGGGAAATGAGCCTTGAGTTAAGTCTGATGGCATTGCTGAGGCATGGTGCTATGGTTGAATCCCTCTTCCCACCTCAAGTTCCTGTGTTGAAGTCAAAACCCCCCAGGACTTCAGAGTGTGACCTTATTTGAGAAGAGGGTTTTTATAGAGATGACACAGAGAGGAGACAGCCCCATATAGATCCTCCTCTCACAGCCCTTAGCTAGCCTGTAGGACTGTGAGCCAATACATTTCTGTTGCTTAAGCCACTCAGTGTGTGGTGCACTGTAGGGCAGCCTGAACAGACTAACATTCATGGTTCATACGTCTTCTATGGTCTGGAATTGGTTGCCTCTTAGATGGTATCAACCAGGCATTTATGCCCTTGTATGTGCCCAGAATACTCTGTCAGGTAGGGTGGCTACAGCAGTCCTCTTGGGGTCATAGTTCACAGAAGAGGCAATAATGATGTTTCTGATGGTTGCAAAACCAGACATTGAGGACCCTGGAGGGGGTGGCAGCGTAAATAGTAGTGTGCTACTCCAGGAAATAGTAGTGTGCTTCCTCAGCATAAAGGGAAAGATGGGCATAGATGAGACAGGACCTTCAAAATTTAGAGGGAAAGATGTAGAAGATGTGAGAGAATTCAGCAAGGAACCTTACCAGGATGGGAGGACAGAAAAAGGGACATGCAAACAACGTATGAGAGAAAGTGACCACAGAACCACGGAAGGGTGGGAGGGAGAATCAGGCGAAGAGGAAGCCGAGAGACCAGAGGAAAATGGCCAAGTCTGTTGTGATTATGGAGCCCCCCAAGTCAATGAAATGGAGTAATGTATTTCTAAGATCTGCAATTCCAAGCCTGCACTCCACATGACTCCTGGAATTAGTAATACCTAGTAGAAATACCTGGTGGAGCTGAAGGAACTCACGTCTCTCATTTTATGCATAAAGAAGCTGAGTCCCAGTGTACTGAGAGATGTGCCCACACCGCCTGACTAATGAGTTGGGGACAAAGGCCCAGGATGTGCTCCCGGCAGCCCTAGCCCTCCTTCTTGCCAGTACACCTGGCGTGCATGGATCTTGGTAGCTGTAGATCACAGAACGGAGTGTCTATGATAAGCAGAATTGCTTTTACGTGAAGCACATGTATTTTGCATCAAGAAGTTTTAATTATAAGGCTATAAATATGTCAAAGGGATCTGACAACATCTTATTAAATTACAAGAGTGAGCTCAAGCAGTTTCGGATGCTGGCATAGTCCCAAGAAGAATGAGTTTTATAGTCAGGAGCTCCCCGGCCTTCTCCCTCCCCACTCCATCCCCCCTCTAAATTGTTTGTTTACTGTGCAGAAATCAAATATAAGTCAAATTACCAAAATTGCAGGTGAAATATTTAATCCAAATTGTTTTTCTTTCTTTTATCCTTTCATTTCTTTGAAGGATGGTAGAAATTAATCTCCAGAAAACCCTTCGGAATTCCAAATAGAAAGAAAAAAATGTTTTTTTTATTCTTTTCTGATGCGGTATTAAGTGTGGCTGGTATCTTAAATTGCACTTCTATTGAAAATAGTACACCATTAGTCTCCAATTTTCTCAAGAAAAGCATAAAGGAGCAGTTTCACAGAAATAACTGTCACGTTAACTGTCAGACTCCCAGGGCCATGGCAGCTGAGAGTTGTGACAGTACAAATGTGGCCTACAAAGATTCTCAGTGACAACTTTCTATTGGTAGCTGCCTTAGAGAGGTGGTGGTGATGTGTCAGGTTTTGAAGAGGGATCCTTCTAACCTTATTTTATTATGACCACCTGGGATCCAAGATAATAGTTTCTCAATATGTCTTCCCAAAGATCTCGTCACATTCCGTTCTCGTCCCCCCATTTCTCGTCTTTCTTTTCACCTGTGTCTAAGTCACTCTTATTAATAATATATGTATCAACCAGGATCTAAAAGAGGGAAATGGAAGCCACAGCAAGGGTTTACAACAGAGGGGATTTAAAGCAGGGAACCGATTGGGGATGGCAGAGCTGAGAAGCCAAACAGGGGACAGGTAAGGAACCTGGAGAGCTGAGCAGCAGCAACGATCAGCTTCTGTTGCTGACAATGTGTGTGCGATATTACTTTCAAGGATGTGAGAATTCTTCTTGGTCTGTCATGGATTCAAAAAATAGAAGAAACACACAGGAAGCAGTAACAGGGCTGAGCCACAGGGATGGCTAAGTGCTGGGAGGGCAGAGCACCAATGAGAACTCCGGTCCTTCCAGGGCCACTGTGGGAATCAGCGAGAGGACCCTTCACAATGACGCTTCGCCTGGCTTACAACTTCTAGGAAGCAATCTGAGCTCAGGGACACATGGTGAACAAGCACCTGTAACACACTTTATTCTCTTAGAAATAATAACCACTTGCAGAGAGAACGCTCTTCCTTTCAATGAGTCAGAGATATATTTATGTGGGAAGAAAGGGGACTTAGATGAAAGCATTTTGCTCTTCTAAAGAATATTGGCAGGTTTTATATCCATGTTCAAAACAGCACATGAGGTCTTATACAAAGACCCTTGGTAGGGTTTACTGAAAGCAAAAGGGCAAGGTCAGCAAAGTCTGGGGTATCTGCGGTCACCTTTTCTGTTCCCTCCCCTCCTCCTCCACCTGCTTCCTCCCTTCAGTTGGGGCACTCGGTATTCCTAGCTGCTCTTCTTCCAGCTTCACTTATTCTTTCTAACTTGGAAGGATCGGGGTAAGTCACTTACAACTTAGAACAGATTCAAATCAGTGTAACATCTTCAGTGCTGCCTAACAGAGCTGCACAAGGAAAATGACGCTTGAGAACAGTAGCTTATATCGTGGAGGGAAAGTTGTAAAATTAGAACATGAATAATGACAAAAGACAAGAATATTTTGAAGTAGTTTGAGTATAGAGTATTTCAAAATTAGCATTTATATAATCAGTCTGAATATTTTGAAATTGTTTTAAAATTCTGAAATAAAAGAGAATTTTAAAATAGCACATGTACATCGAGTCATAGGATAAAAAGTTTAATACATTTGATCACGTTAAAAAACACAAAACACAGCCAATCTAACCAAATTTCAGGCATGCATTTACATAAATATATTAAATTAAGAAAAGACATTATACACTTAAACATCCTTTTCACCTAAAATTCATTAAAATCCACAGATCAACAATAAAACCAATTCTCTGCATTTACCACTTCAAGATACAATTGTTCTATTTTAAAGATAACACAAATAACACTTGTTAGAATTTATATGCATTATACATATATTATATATTACATAGATAGTGTGTATACATATGTAGTGTTTGTACAGATAGATAAATATATATACATGGGTGTGTGCACACGTACAGATACACACAGATGTACGTTAGGCCATCTGTACTATTACTGCCGAAGTCTAATGTTGAGCTGGGTTGGAGCTGTTGGATGTGATTATGGTCTTTTGCTTCAGACATGTTTTTCATACCCACTGGACTCACAAAGGCCTTGTCTTTTCTACAGCACATAATCATAGTAGGCACTTCAATACATACTTGTTGAATTAGTAAATGAAGACATGGTGAATAATAGAGGGATGACCAAAGAGAACTGCATATTAAAATAATCTGGCTAAATAAGTCAGATTAGTTCAAAATCAGAGGGATTATCTGACCCAATGACATTATATGTTACTTTTTGGAAAGAATGTGTTATTATTTATAGCAATACCAACTGGTGCAGATATTAGCCCTGCTCCCTTTTATTTGTATCTGTTTTCACTACTTGTTTCTGTAGTCTCCTGCCTCTTATTAACAGAAACCCAAGCATGGATGGGTTCTGGTAGGTTCTGTGAGTAAGACTCTGGACAAACTGTCCTAATTTTCAACAACCTAATAGTAAATGAACTTGAGGAACCAAAATATGTTGGAAAAATGATAGAGATATTTATTCCTTAAAATGGGATAAAATCACAGATAAAGCTAGGAAAGACACAAGAGTTTTCATTTCAGTATTAGTCAATGCTTGTTCGTTATAATGATTTGATGATTTTTTTTTCATTTTAATTAGATGGGTTTCTCTCAAATAAATAGTCTATTATAGCATGTCCTGGGAAATCAAGTTCCCCAAATCACATAGTACCTCAGCTATCATTTATCTTGTTATTATATGGTTCTTGATGAAATGTATGCCCAAACATATCCTGTGAATATAATGAGATATGGGCACTATCTCATTTCTCATAGGGTTGTCAATTTGGTTTCTCAGTGGTAGTATCATGAAAGGGGCATCTATTGTACATAAAATCTTAATTTATTCTAAAAAAGTTATATTTCAGATTTTAAGAATATGAGGTAAAGAAATATGCAACATACACTTTGGGCAGAGACCATACCAAACCTGATCACACCTCGTTCATGTGAATGGAAAGTATCAACGAGTTACTTTTTAGTGCAAAAAAAATGTATAAGGATTAGTGTCTAACTGCGAAGACAAAGCTTATTTAGCCATTATGAATTTTCCATCTCTGTTAACATATTTTAACTTAGAAGATTATAGTCAATTGAGAAACTCACTATATATTTATATTAACTTGCTTATATATGTATACATGTACTTTGGATTTAAGTATCACATTAATTTATATATGCAAACCCCTCCCAAGAAACCCTGAATGAAAGATAATGTCTGTCTTTATGGTGTTCACAAGAGAGAACCTTAGAATAAATGTTGAGTTGATAACCATTTTCTTTTCTCTCTCTCTCTTTTTTTTTTTCGGTTATTATATGGTCTGACAAGAAAATAATAATAGGTTTTAAACACAGACTTTATGTAGATGAAAGGAACCCATTATTTATTTTTTATTTTGTGAGATGACTTACAGATGCCCTATACAAATGATATGGGTAAATGATGGGTGTACCTGGGGTTCATATTTAATGAGGAATTTAAAAGTGCTATTCTCCTAAATGAACAAACCTCTCCATAGCAGCTAAGAAAATCTTCACTACGACTGAGAATAAAACAGCTCTACCACACTCCCTCCCAATTCCATGAATACATCTTACTCTCCTAAAATGTTATTTTAAGGTAATTTCCAAAAATCATTCAGTTAAGAGAAATAAGGGTTGAAGTTGGCTAGACTTTACCAAGCTCCACGGTCATGTTTTTAATATCGAAATGCTTCGGTTCTTAGGTTTCCTACCTTTCTTGACATCACATTAATGACTAGAAGTATACCAATTTGTGTTGGTGTGACAAAGAAAAAGTTGTTAAGATAATAACTGTATATATCTCTTTTTAGATATTTATTCTAGAAAGGAACTTTCTGATGGCTTTGCCAGCATTCACGATAATAGGCCCACCAACTCCCTGGAAGTAATAAGAAAAAAAAAGTACATTTTCTGGCCATGGGACTTTGGTCTGAAGTCTCAGCAAGTTCAAATCTCTTCCTGGGAGAGAGGAAAAGATGATTCTTAAATCTTTATTAAGGGATTAATTTTTATTTTTCCTCATAGATTCAGAATAACCTTCCTCAAAACTGACTTCCAAGAGATGATTATTGCTTGGATAGGCCACCGCTACAAACTTTCCCTACTGTGAGCTGAACCTCTTCACTGGGGTTAGTCACCATGTCTTTCCCGCGTCTATGCAGAAAGAGCTGAACTGCAGCGTCTGCACTGGGAGTCATTTCTGCTCTTTGTTATCTCTTTCAAGATTATAATAGACCAGTCCAGTAGGTTATTTGTCTCCTATTCATCATGAGATATATATAGAATTTGAGCAAATGTGAGACCAAGAGAACGTATTTTTCAGAAAAGCAAAGCAAAGATCCTAATTAGCAAAAATCAACCTACCTCAGGACTTTCATGATGGTGATACTGAGGACGTGTCTATTTAGTCAAAGCCCATAGAAAACAGAGGAGAAGGAAGAAGGGAGAGGTTAAAAAAGAAAGAAAAGGAGGGGGGGAGAAGTCATAGATATCATAGGTGGTATTTTACAGAGATGCTCAGACTAATTTGTTAATCAGGTAACTCCAACTGCCCATGTTAAACCTTATTTCCTCTTAAAAATCTGGATTGGGTTTCTCTTTCATATTCAAAGTTAAGAGATTTAACAGAATGTTAGACTAATAAAACTTTAATGTGTACCTTGAAATACCCTACATACAGCATCTAACCTTGTATTTTACACCTAGTAGGCTTGTTTTATGATTCAGAGATTAAAAACAAGGTCAAAAGCAGGTGGATTAAAAATTGTTAGTACATTGTCATGTAATTAATTCCAAATAAATAAATAGGGAAGAAATAACTGTTTTGAGGCAAGTAAATGACAAAGTGAACAATTCTCTATTTAAGCTGTTTGTATCTGTTGTGTGGGTAGGTTTTTGGCTCTTTATGAGATAGCTCATTAATCTGAGAAAACTTCTCAGTATTCTTTGTGATAAAATAAAAGGTGTATTTTACAATAGTTAATTGAAATAAAATTCCAAGAAGAAGCAGCATGGATGGAAGTACTTTTTTGCCGTCACTCAAGTTTCTGAAATCTTTCCTCTTTTTCACTTTAATAATCTGCCAATTCTATTTCCTTATTATCTTAAACAACTATCAAGAAAACAAGATTCTTTGAACCATGACAAGAATGTGGCAGAAACAGTGGTAGAAAGGTTATTTTTAACTATTTCACTTCACATCCAACTCACACCCAAAGCTTCAGCTCGAGAATGAGCAAGGGAATATTAATAGACATTTTTCTAGCTTTTTATTTCATCTTTATCTTCCCCATCAGTGTTCTTACCAAGGACATTTTTCTTCCATTTTAGACTGTGTGTGTGCTTTATGAACTGAGTAGATGTTGGCTTTCATGTAATGAAGCAGTAACTTTCCCCCTAGCTCATACTTCTTAACCCACTCCTACCTGCCTCCCATCATGAATCATGGAAGATAATTCTACAGTCACGCATTTAAAACATCTACTTGAAAGAAAAGGTCAAAGAGAGTTTTTCAGTCAACCACTTAGTTTAAAATATGTAGCCATCAATTAACCAGCGCTATCTACTTTTCTCCTAAGAACAGAAAGAAATGACTCCAATGACTTTATTTTCTTTGCTTGGGTTTAACATCCATGGCTCTTGCTATCTTCTTTTGAGAAGAACGTGGTCTTTTATTCTAACGACTCACAATAGAAAAGGCAATGACACCTGGGGCACATATGTTTTTCTAAGTCACTTGAGATTCTTTCACTTGGGAAAAAAGCTGGATTAAAAAATCTGGGTCTGGTCAATTTAGATATTTTTAAACAGTAGAACTAAAGGCAATAGAATGCCTTTTTTTTTTTTCTTTTTCTTTTGGGGAAGAGTTGGAAAGATTAAACATAGAAGCAGAAATTTCTGATATTTCAGGTCTTGCTAAATATGTAGCAGCATCCTTATTGTTTTCAGTGAAACTAGGAATGGGAGAATGTGTAATAAAAACTGCACGATTTGACAGATTTAGACAGCTGGCTCCCTCACAAGAAGTTCACATTTGTTAATGTCGCCCACGTTGAATAAGGGACTATTAGATGGTAAGGTCCATTAACAAAAATGGTTGTCAGGACATTTTTTTTTTTTAATTGTAAAACTTTCTGTGATGGAATTCAGTAAAAGGGCTATGCAGAGAAAGCAATGGAGACAAAAGCTTGCTATTAACCTACAGATGCAGGGGACTCATGGTTCATTGCAAGATTTGTCACACTGTTGGGCCAATGAAGTGTTAGTGTGACTAGAAGGGACCACCCCTTTTCTGGGGTAAGAGGGCAATTTGGTCTCCATGCTCATTTAATCCTGAGACTTCTTTGAATAGACTGTCAATTGAATCTAAATTGTGCAAAATTATGCATGCACTTTTTAATGCAGGCTATTGTTCACTAAGCACTGAACCAAGGTTTCTCAACCCATTTCCATTTGGCATGAGGTCACTTGAAACTTAAGTAATCATATATGGAAGACAAGAGCAGTGTACTTAACCAATCTTTCTACATTGTGGTTTCTATATAAATGCTCACTGGGCTTTAATTGCAAATCTCTCCCTTTAAAACAATAGAGAAGTACGAGCTGCAAGATTTTTTTTTTTTTTTTTTTAATTGAGGCTTCTATTCTTAAAGGTAAGGAGCAGGTTTGGAAAGTCAGCTGGTGCTGCATGATTTACACTGCTCTATGATTTAGATTTTAGAGGATCAGATGTTTACAGAAGGACAATGATAACGGTATTGTACCTGTCATGAGGAGATGTGTTTTTTTCAGTAGTGCAAAGAGGCCTTATAGTTTCATTAAACTCCAAACAGGAAGAGCTGGCCTCGAAAACCTTTCAGAAACATGTCTACTAAACTATTTGCAGTTTTAAGTTAGAACGTGGCATTTCTTTCAAAACCTGAACAGAACATGTACAAAACATTTATTGAGACATGAACCAAAGAGGATTTTCATTGAGTCTGGAAGGAACATATACATTAGAAGGCATAGTTGGCAAGAATCATTGTAGTAAAAATTTGTACAAGTGACAGCTTACATAGCCAAGATGTGTTAAAAACGAGTGAGCTCTTCTCCAGAGAGGTTCGATTCAGTGGAAATCTGCACCATTCTAATCACATATACTCTGACAGTCTTGCTATGGTGAAAGCACTTTACCAATGTTTAATGCTGGAATTTTATAAAGATTGGCTGTTTTCTTGCTTTTTCCTCCGTCGTTAAGGATTACATGTTGGCACAGGGATACATTGCTAGATTAGCTCCACAGCACATTAAAGACTGTTTGCTTTCTCACTCCCCTTCTTTCCAATTAAGATGGTGAAAAATGTAACTTTAGTATTTTACAGGACAGGGTAAAGGTGTTTCATCTAGGTGATGTCTATATTATAAAAATAAAATAAAAAATATAAATATGTAACACAAACCCAGTGCCTATTGTTAAATAAAATATACAATAAAAGCAGACCTTTTAGGAAGACTGATTTTAAAATATGCCGTTATGATTTAATTATAACACACTCGAAAACAATCTTGAGATTAAGCTGAGTAACCAGATTTCTCTGCCAACAGAAAAGGTAAGTGCGGAACATTGCGTAATGGGATACACTGATAAAAAGGAAGATTACAATTTTATATCGAGTTGCTCACTTAGAAACTCCTCGGGGAGTTCTGAAACATTCTCTCATAGTATAGTCCTTTAATATAAAAATATTGCCTTTTTTATTAGATCAGATTGCACAGTGATGTTTCAAACTCCATTAAAGTTGACTTCAGTGATTACAGACAGAAAATTCCTAGGAAGTCAAATAATCTCTTCTGGTGACATAAAAATTCCGTTATCAATTTACAATGGAATTTTGTGTAAATTACTCTGTACAAGGAAGTATATATATTTAAAACCCATCTGTTATGCAACCACACGTATAAGGGTTATGAGTGTATGTGTACGTGCATATGTGAACCAATGTGCCAACATACACACAGAGGATTTCCACATTTCTGGAAATTATTTTTAAATTAATAAAAGAGAATGAAATCACAGGAGTGTGTAGCAGGATGACAGTCTTTTTTTTTTTTTTTAATGACAGGATAAAAAATAAATGCCCACTGGAAAGGAATACTCAAACAGTCCCAGAAACTATACAATGTAACTTGTTAGATCCAGCAAATAAGATGTCATGTCAATGATCTGATCAAGAATACCTGCCCTGGTCACTCTGCGGATGTTTCTGTCCACTTGTTCACACTGAGGACCAAGATATCCTTTCTTACAGAGGCACTTGTTCGGTCTGACACAGACACCTCCATGACGACACGCTGGCTCACATTTTGCTGGGTGGAGACAAAGAGCAATAACATCACACTCTCGTTCTGTATGGGAAAACAGCACCCAGTATGAGACTTACAAGTATTTGCTGATAAGGGATGGGATGGAAAGGAGGAGGAAAATGGTCACACAATGGTCTGAAAGACATTAGTAAATACACAGGCAGCAAAACAGGTGTTCACACCCAGGATTACTTGAGAATCAGAACTCAGAGGCCAATGAGAGACATTTCCAGGCGAGCAGAGATCATGAGAAATAAGAGTAATTCTTTGCGGAATTGACTCTATTTCCAACAAAATTCCAGTTCTTGCAACTCTGTTCCACAGGGGTTTTTCCTACAGAGGGCTTTCCTGTTCCTAATCTTTCAAGGCAGGGCCTCAGCACAGGAGGGGCCCAGCCAGAGTGGGCGGCATGGTGGCTCACACATCTCCAATGCAACATGAAGGAAAGGGATTTTGCTTTGGTGGAATGTCTGCCGTGTACACTCCCTTGGATTCCTCCTCCTTCCTGTTTCTAGGGGGCACACAGCATATGCTTTACTCCAATTACACAGTGCAATTGGCCAGTGAGGGGAATTCTGGGTAAAACTTTACGGGTTACTCTGCAGCACAGAATTTCTTCATTGAAGAATGTCTACCACTACAGGATACATAGGGAATGACTTACTGATGAGATGGAGACATAACATTGGATGTATAAATTAATCATAATTTACTAATATGATAAATCTGGGAACTCCAGCCATGGTAGACAAAATCAATACCTTGAAGGTAGTTCCGTATGTTTTGAGGGGACAGGGTCACTTTCACCTTTTTAAATACATTAATCAAAATCTAGGTGACTGTGGTTGACACATAGGAAAGAATAAGAGGAAAAAATAGACTATTTTCTCTTTTGAATTTGTGGGAGATGACTAAACTGTGTGGGTATATTAATCAGGTTCCTGCTTATATCAAAAATATAGTGAATATTTTTCACTGAGCATGGTGGCATGATCCTGTGGTCCCACCTACTTGGGAGGCTGAAATGAGAGAATTGCTTGGGCCTAAGAGTTTGAGCCTAGTGCCTGGGCAATATAGCGAGATCTTGTCTCTACAAAAACAAAAACAAAAACAAAACTACACACAAAAAAACTAAACTAAAATTACAATTTAAAAAAATCCCAAGTAGATTACTTTTATAAAATAGTTTGTCTTATTTTATATATTCAAGCTATTTAAATTTATTCCGTGGAAAAATTAAAGTACTTTATTGAAATAAAACATCATGGGAACTCAACGAATGTCTATATTTATTTATAGCACACATTAATATTTTAATATTAAGGTATGTATAATGGCACTTGTGTTCAAAATGCTTTGTTCATCTTCAGTTTAAACAGGCTGTCACTAGAAGGCACTTGGTAAATATTAGTTAATTGATGACTTGAGGAGACTTGAGAGGTTGGCAAAGTACAGGGTAGGGAAGAACAGAATGGACACTATATAAAAGAAGCTGAGCCATCAAAGGAAGCTGATAGATGATATAATAATAAAAATTTGAATATTATATATTTGGACACTGATCCCTATTTTGATTCACTAAATAAAAAGGTAAACAGAATGAGATCAATAACATGTAAGCATTTGTTTTAAATGACATAATTAATTTCTGTGGAGTTTTAATGTTGATGGTTCTATCCTAGATAGGCAAGCACAGTATTAATCAATCTGTGATATTATTAATGCTGAGCCAATGAAAGCTTAGAATATATACTGTCTGTATGACCATATGTAAAGTAGATAAGTTTTGGTTGTAACTTTTTGAAACAGATATATCTTTAGAATAAAGATAGCATTTATGAATTAAGAATAATATTAGATAGTAACTTGAGATTTTAATTTTCATTGGCAAGAGGTATTTTCGTATTTGAAATAGCAGAGATCAAAATTTTTTCTGTGTGTTCTGTATATGCTGGTTGCTAAATATACATTTTCAACATTTACATCTGAAACTCTAGGTTTCTAAATTCATCTGATTTTCCTACTTTGTGTCAAGTAGAACTTAAACATCACTGTGCATAATCGATGAAATCTCAAGTTAAAGGATAGAATGACCCTGGAATAAATCTCTGAGCAGCTGCACGTCTAGTTGATGGTTCACGAGGGAGTAGCAAAAATAATTACAAAATCTCATAATATGCCTCTAGAATGATTGCGTTTCCCCCTTTTATTTAATAACACCCACTGAAAAGCCCCGTTTTTCAGTGTGCTGTAACAAGAAAGCAAGCAGTAAGGCCAGCGACGGCATTTACGGGGTGTCTGGAAAATGCTCGCACTTGGAGAGGAGCTTTGCAAACACTAAGTCACTGGCTAGTGTGAAATCTCAGAACCCCGGGCCAAGAGCCCCATAGAGATGATCTGGCTGTGCTATTTTCATTTTTCACTTGTTGAAAGGACTCAATCCTTTAGACTTCTTTTTAATGTTTATGACTAACTTATGCCAGTGAGTCATTTACATGAAAAAAATGAGAAAGATTTTCTTTGCAAGTTCAGAAGCAGAGGAGCATTCATGTCATTGTAAATGGCTCAACAGGCATGAGCAGCAGGTAATTCTGGAAGAAACAACTGTTCAATATGGAATTCTCCGGTGTTCAAGGGTTGTCCCAACTCCAGTGTTTGCTAGTTAAAAACAGAAATCACTAACCGATTCTGCAGAAGTCCCCCTCCCAGCCTGGGCTGCAGCAGCACTTTCCAGTGGGGGTACAGTAGCCATTCCGACAGAGGCGGGCGCACTCCGAGGTCAGCGTCTGGGCAGGCTGCACGGTGGCTCTGCATTCCTCAGGCACTAAAGGTCTGGTCAGAACACAACAGTGGAAAGTGGATTTTGGTTGAAAATCAATAGTGGAGTGAAATCTAGCCATTTCATAGTTTACAAAGAATGGCTCTTGTTTTCTAAAGAGACCTTTCAGCTGGGCGCAGAGGCTCATGTCTGTAATCCTAGCACTCTGGGAGGCTGAGAAAGGTAGACTGAGCTCAGGAGTTCGAATCCAGCCTAAGCAAGAGCAAGATCCCGTCTCTACTAAAAGTAGAAAAACTAAGGCAAGAGGATCTCTGGAGCCCTAGAGTTTGAGGTTTATGATGCCATAACAGTCTACCCAGGGCGACAGAGTGAGACTCTGTGTCCCCCCCCAAAAGAAAAAACAAAAAAAGAGAGAAAGAGAGATAGAGAGATCTTTCTTTCAAGTGATTCAGATTTACAGCTTTCTAAAAATACAAAATACACATCAACGAGGAAACAAACTAACCAGTTTTGAACCGAAGTGAACATTTTAGACATTCTTAGAAACTTTATCATGATCAAAACTCACTGAAGAAAAGTGAGAATTATATTGACATTTATATTTAATAACTAAGAATTTCCGTCAAGTGCAATGTTTGAAATAAAGATGGATGGATGTTTTAAAACTTTCCCCCACAGATCTATAAAATATTTTTAGGAGTGCCATCTAAGATAGTTTCATTTGTTGGTGACACGGCTGGCAATATCACTGGGCTGAAGGTATTTCTTAAAATGAACCCCATAGCCTAAAAGCCTCAGAATCAATTTTTCTTTCAATTTTGCATTTCTTTTGTGATAATATATTCAGGCTGATTTTTCTTGAAGAGTCATCATAATATGTAGACTAGTCAAAGTTTAAACCATACAGAGAAAGATATATATATATATATATAAAATGGAGATTTTACGTATATATATTTTAATTTGATTTTGTCTTGCTATGAAGAACTCTAGTAATAGCAAATAAAAACATCCTATTTGCAATGTAAAAAGTCATAGATTTTGTTTTAATTGTTCTATAGCTGCCATCATTTATAGAGGAAAGCAAGATCCCTTCAGAAGATTTTTTATGGTTCTTTTTGTTTTTGAAAATGTTGTCTTTCAAACAGGGTCAGGCTATGAACCATCGTCACACTACTCTTGCCTAATCTTTGGAAAAAATTGTGCAGTGGCACTTTCCTATCAGTCACTGTTATCAGTGCCACAGGGTGGTGATAAAGCTCTTTTCTGTTAAGGAATGTAAACAAACGTTTTCATCACCAGCCAAATCGCTGGCATTAGGATGGTCCAAGCAATTGGATTCCTTAAGTACCATAACAAAGAAGGTGATCATTATAGGTCAAAACCACCATAAGAGGTAACCATCACAGACAGTTTTCTGAGATAAGCAAATAATTAAGTCCTATAGACTCTGTTCGCTGGAGGTAGGTTACTTCACTCAATGGTCATGTCCCTATGGGAATGTGAACAGTGATATTAATTTGGGTCTGTTGGATCTCAGGCTGTTTCTGCAACGACACTTAAAAACAATTCTCCAGCTTCTCTTCCCATTGAAAATTCTATATTAAGAAAACTCCCTTAACTCTATTCAACCTCTTATTTAAGTCTAGAAATGATCAGTTTATATGAAAGTCCCTTAGGGCATTCCATGGACTGAGCATATTTTTATTCAGAAAACATTAACAAATATTTTTCATGTATTCCCCAGTGGAGTCTTTCTGGGAGTCGAGTCAGGAAGGTGGGATGAGGCAGAGAAAATGTTCAATGAGTCTACTAAGAAAAGTAAGGGCACTGCCTTTATCTTCTTCCTGTGGAACACCCCTCATCTGAATGCTGTGTGTCTTTCTCATTTAAAATTCTTATTTTGTTGGTGAGACAAGGGTGGCATTTTTGACCACCAGACAGTAGTTTTCCAGTGGTTGTGAAGTTCTTCTGATTCCTAGGTCATTAGCATTTACTAAGTGGCGTTCAGTAAACAGGTTTTGTTCTAACTGATATTGCAGAATTCTGTGCATTTCTGTTCTTTACTCGCTTGTTCACCATCTCTGAGTCATTTAAGTAAAGAGACCCAGAAATAGAGTGTATCAAAAAAGTATTATACGTTATAAGCAATGCAGAATTTACAGGCACCCAGCTCGCATGCTGGTCCATGAGATGGATGGTTTATGCCTAAACAGATGGCTCTGAAGAGAAGACATCCTTTAGATCAAGAACGTAGGTGAATTCAGTTAAAGACAGACAAGATGTTGCCTTTTTGAGGCAAAGTATCGGGACACTGACTGGCAAAGGAACGAGGGTGGGGAATGAGTGGGGAACATGGATCCAACATGGCAGTTCTTTAGGGAAGGGAATATGACCCTTGTTTCTCTGTTGATCCCCCAATCAGCAGCTTTGACCCTGTTTTGCCAAGCATTCAAATTTACAGAAACTCAGATTATAGACTGAATTCTAAATTGTTTTTTTGCCTAAGGTAAATGCCAATCTCTCTGCAGATGTAATAATTATTTCCCACTTGTGCTTGTTTACAGTAGCTTTTATAGGGCTATGTGGCTGTCACATCTAAACATTATAGTTCCCTCAAGTGTTTATTTAAATACCTGGTAAAATTATCTTTTTTCTTCTATGAAGTTGATAGATAACTTTCCTTACTTAGCACATTAAGTATTCTCCCTTTCCTTTTTAAAAAATACTTATTTGTTTCTTTAAATGTTAGACCCTATGATCCTTCTCTTTTAGACTGTCATTCAAGCCTGAAAATTATATTAAAAAATCACTAGTCTCTTATAGAACTTCACTTCTCTTAAGGAATGAGTTTTTTTTTTTTTTCCCTTAAATTATTGTTTGGGATTCATTGAAGGCACAAAGAATTAGGTTACAATGATTGCATTTGTTAGGGAAAGTCCCTCTTATAATTGTGTCCCGCCCTGATGAGAGATATGTAGGATAAAGGAATGGGTTGTTCTATCTCCCTCTCCTCTTCTCTATTCTCTGTTGAAAGGAAGGTTTTCTGAGGGCAGAAGCATACTTGGTACTCAGGTTCAATCACTTATATGGGCAAGCTCTGTGCTCTTTGTGGGGAAAAGACATAAACAGTAGAGGCCCGATCAGAGGAAGACAGAGATGCAAACACAGAGATGATGCAGGGTGACCTTGGCTATGGTGCAGGTGCACATGGACTGTCACAGAAATACAGATGAGGGAGCACTTAGCTTAGGGTTGAGGGACGTGAAGCCATCAAGTATTTTATCTTCTTCAACTACTTATATTCATAGGAGTTGGGAAAATACTGCGTAGCTGATAAATGTTTATTAAATTGAACATATACAGTAGTAGCTTTCTCAAATATACTCTATTCTCTGGAGTATAAACTCCATAAGGAAAAATACTTCCTCTCTTCTCTTCTGTCTCCCCAGGATCTCGAAGAGTGTGTTGCACATGGAAGATCCTCAATAAAAATCTGCTAAACGGATGAATGAAATTACTAAGAATATGGAATTTTAAAAGGGTTTTTGATTCCTATCTCTGTTATTGGATGAAGATATTAGGAAAAAACAGAGTATTAGGGGGAGGAATATCACTAAAATCTAATTGCTGTATTCCTGTATCATAAACATAAAACTAAAACCCCTCACTGTTTCTCTCTATTGCCTAAACTAACTCATCTTATAAAATTCTTCTCAGGTATAGTTAAATTTATTTTAAAAGATGTATTTTATACTACTTCTAATAGTAAATAAACAAAAGGTTAAGAAGTGAAGGTAATTATGAGATAAAGATATAGGATTGTTTTCTCTCCCAGATGGGTAGTAAGTCAACACATTGAAATTTGTTTCTCTAGTAATATACCTGTATTTGGTAAACTCTAACAAGGATTGTGGTGACCCCAACAAAATACCCTTCCAGTCACACTTTTTTCTGGTGACACTGTCCCTTCTATGGAAAAGAACGGCGCTCTTTTATATGGAATAAAGAGAAAGGAAAGGGATTAGAACAGTACCTTTGAACATTATTATTACTGTAATGTTGAAATAGAGTATCTTATGTATACATAAATACTACACATACCCACCTAGATGGGGTCTAAACAAAACTCTAGAGTGTCTATCTATGATAAACTCATTTTTATACTTATTTTATTAGACTGAAAAACTGAGTATTTTCATTATATTCTAATAAGATTCATTTAAGTAGTCTGGTTCTTCTTTTAAACAATCACTTTTTAAACTGTTGCACCCTTAGCTCTACTGAATGAAGTCAGAAGTAGCTTTCAAAACAGAAAACGTGCTCAGAAGGTGTTTAGACTTGTAATAAAAAATACAGCAAGCCCGTTTGTTGACAGCTATCCCCACAGCCCTTGAATTTAAGTTAAATCAGAAAAACATATTTCCTAATCCATTCACACATGAGAAATAATGAAACACGAAAGGGCTAGTGTAGAAAGCTGCCCAACATTCTTCAATATATAAAGTATTGTTTTCAGAAATGTAAGACATTTTCTTAGAAATCTACTTTGGCTGGCTTTGTGTAGCAGTGTAAAGAGTTGGATACTTTTCTGAAAATAAAGAAAGAAGCTGAGAAGCCTAAGTAATTTATAACACACATCATACTTGATGACTTTTTGTGAACAGCTAAGGCCGACAATGAATGTCTCTGGGCAGTGAGATTATGGATGGTTTTAATTTAATGATACTTAATTTAATAAATGAAAAATAAATCAATAAATGGGAAGTCCTCTGTGAATTCACAGGAAGGCCCAGGGATAAATCCTGTCTGAGCAGCACTGCCCTTTGGAGTGGGGACTGCAGAAATCTATTTTGTGGTTTACAGATTGTAAAGGGGCTCCTTCTGAAATTTTTGTTAGGCATCCAGATTTTAAAACCATTTCATTGTAATCCAAGATCGCTCACAGATCATCAACAATACTGTTATATAAAATCTTGACCCACTGGAGGTTTTAGAAGATGAAATAATTCTGTAGGCAATCTTGGACAACAATCTGCTTACAGTGGGATGG